AGGACTTTGCGACATCCGTGTTGTGAGCTAGGAAGGCAAGCGTGTCCCGGCAGACAGCGCCATTGTACGCGGAACTCCTGATGAAGCTTCCACCTACCAGCACCCGCTGTGAAAGGATCTTCCCCCAGGCTAAGCTGGTTCGGACTCCCCAGAAAGCCTCATTGTTGCCAGTAATCGTTGCAATGGCGATGGACTTGCGCGCTAACAGAAGTTTCTGGGATGTGTCTACTGTGCAGGGCGTGTACAAACAGATATGAGCCTGTTACTACGTCTTTTAGAGCGGTAATGGACTCAAGACTTTCATTCAATACATAGTGTATTTTACAGTGATTATCTATTGTGTGTGTGAATATGGAATAACTTAAAATGGAACGTGGAAGCAGACCATAAAATATAGTACGGAATTTTCCGAGCACTACCAGGAGGGCTAAATTAGATCCCAAATACACTTTTGGCATTGTAAAACCCCAACCTTTCGATGGAAAACACTCGTTAACGTGGCCTTGGAGCCTTTCCGCTTCAATAATGCCTCGAATTCCACTGGTACAGTGAAATAGATCCACCCAGTGCGGCAACGACCTGTATCAGTGAAGGTGTTACTGAAGAATAGCTATAGCAAAGTTATGATGCGCTCTGGTTTTACCACGCTGGTCAGTTATTCGTCTGTCCAGTGGATGGCGCATTCAGTCTCACCACGCTAGACAAATCCATCCAGTATCCGTATATATTTTACCAGGTTACTCATATCCTTACGTTGAACATCATAACGTTAACCTGTACGGTGTTCATAAATAGTCTTTAGATTCTGTAGCCTACCTCTGATAGTAGTGTCGGCTAGACTTGCTCCTACGCTGCAAAATCCAACCAGAGGGAGCAGGCGGTACAACAACTCTTTTGCTAGAGAACGGTGTCGCTAGCACTTGCCACTAACCAGGCTGGGGGAGTCAACAGTTCGTCAACCCCAACAGAGCGGCATGGAAGAGAACACATCTGGCAGTCGGCAACCTCGGGGAGGTCTGTGGACCCGTCCTCGTGCGCGTAAACCCGATTATACATAGTTTTGGACATGGACCCGTCAATGTGTACGATGAATACACGCCCTCCAGGCCTAATGTCTCACAAGGCCAAACCAGCTCAAGAACGGGATGCCTCAAGCCCCCGTGGGCGCTACCCACGGACCTCAGCCACTCTATGCAACTAATTTCTCGTTATGGCGCCCCTTGCCCCTACCTTACCTTGCTTTACTCGTCCTGCTGCAAGGCGACCCGTATTGTCGCAGTACACCAGCGATCAGAAGCCTCCGTCTTGCTGTTGGGTAGGGCCGTAAAACCCCAGGCGTAGTAAGTCTTGTTAGCTGCTTTATCTAAAACGATCATGTCCAAATTGCAACCGAGAGGTAAGCGGCAAGCCTCACAAATAGAGCCCACTTAGGTAGGCTCCACAGCCTAACCTATACTTACTCTTCGACTTGATCTTCGCGAGGGACCTTTCACGCGGAATCCTCCCGCTTCGTCGCACGCCAGCCGTCCATCGTCAATCCAATGTCGCCTACCCTGGCGTCGATACTCTCTTTCTGTCTCGTTTCCATGTCTTCCCCTTCTTGCGATCTTCAGCAGTCGACATCATCCGACTACTCGCGGCTACAGCATCTCCCTCTTCGTCCAGTACCTGTAGTCCTTCCCGTCACCTACTCCGTCACCGTCTGGCCGTTGACCGCTTTACGCTTGCCACACCGGCCGCGTCTATCGTCCGTCAGGCCGATGGTCACTGGTGCGCGGGTCTGTACTTACATCCTGCGCTCCATCAGGGCTATGATCATCCCGCGGCACGCGCTACAAGTTAAACGAAGGCCGTCCAAGCTGAATATTCCTTGAAGGTCTCCTAATGTTATCTGTAACTCAGTCCACACCAGAGGATTTATTTTTTTAAAAGAAACTGTGTAATCTGAATTAAACGGTTAGTCAGATGGAAATTTTACCCTACCACACATCGGAATCAACAAGTCTGAAATGTTAAGTAACTTCGAACGCACCATTTCAAAAGAAAAAGCCTATTCAGCCATATGCTAGTGGATCGTACTTAATCGTGCTTATGTTGACGGTAACGCTAAGATAGCAGGGGAGAGACGCTTCACCGGAGTTCTGCCTTTGTCTGGCATTC